TGCTCTCTTCCCAGAGTACAGAAGTGTCAGAAAATACATTTTTACTCTGATAATCATTACTTTTTTACGTTTCAAACAAACGCTCGCAAACGCGAACCGGGGTACATAAATACCCCGGTTCAGCGTTTGTATCGCAAACAAATGGAGCCTAAAGAAAAAACTTCTATAAGGATTCTCAATGTTAGGATCCATTTGAATGTTATCTGTTAATCAGAACTACTCAAACAAAGTTAAAGTTAATTTTTCCCAGGAGCAAAACACTGTTGCTGATAGCCTAGCAAAATCAGGGGTCTTTAGAGATTTCTTGTTTAGTGACAATTGTTTGCCTTTGTAATTTTTCCAAGCTGCTCTAGGCTTCAATACATCGTCTCATGTACTCCTTATTCAGTCTTCAATAAAAGGTACCTTTGTTTAAAAGAAAAGTCAGTCCTGACTCTACCACAATTATCAAGTGAAAGAATAAAAATACTAATAAAAAAAGGCCATTACCAAATGTTGGTCCCAGTTATTTGGGGTCCTGGGAGGGGTCCAGTACACTGGATATGGCCCTAACAATAATAACAACAACAATAAGCAGAAACCAAGGAGGTGACATTGATGACGATCATAATTCTTGGGGACTAAGCACTGCCTTTCTATTACAGCTTACTTTCCTTGGAATACTTAGCAGTATTTTTCTCCACATCTCCTAAATATCCTAAAAGGGCCACATCTCCTTAATTCCTATCACAGTTTACTCCCTTAGAAGTATTTTTCTTGTACCCTTCACAGATACACTTTACACCACTCATTTGGCATATTATGCCATTGACCTACATCTGTTAGTACATATAGGGCCAACACAATTGTTTTCCTTATGGTACTGGGTACCTGTATCACTTGCTAAGAGTAAGAGGCTAGAGGAGTTAATGAGGGACTTTTTATGGATCTTGGAGAGTCCAAGAGAGGTCATCTCATCAACTAGGAAATAATGTGCAAAGGTAAGAGAGGAGGAGGATTAGAGGTAGGAAAGGTGATGCAGAGGAATTCTGCTTCACTTGCAAAGTGGCTTTGGAGATTTCCTCTGGAGAAAAACAATTTCTATCATACATGGCTAGGCTGTTAATGATTGGAGTGGTGAGGTGGCTAATAGAGCATCGCTCTCCTCTCCTAGGAAAGTCATATCTTTCTTATCTCCTCTTCTTTCAGCACGTTTGTTGTGTCTCTATTGCTGGATAACTGCTGAGAGGATATTTGATGGAGGCATAGACCATTTAATGATTGGTTTCCTACCATTTACTGAAATATCCCATAACAAGCTTTTGCCTCTTTTCCATTTGGCTTCTCCCTCAATTACTGGCCGTTTTGGGATCTGGGTTTAAGGAGAGATTTCAGGCAGAGCTCTAGTCTCTCTAATATAATCCCAGACTTCAGAACTGAACTATTTAACTAGGACAATGCATCTCTCTAACACTAAAAGGAAGTGTCTGACATGACTTCAAAAAGCCTATAAGTCGGATATATTGGTATAATTATTTCAAATAATACATGTTTCTCAAAAAATTTGTTAATGGACAGAGAACGCACAAGAAACTTGGAAATGCAGATTCACTTTAAGGGAATCATTAGTAGAAGAATTGAATGTCATCTTTCATTGGGTTCCTAGAAGTGCTTATGGTATGGTTGAGGGTTTAACAAGGCAAGGGGTAAATTGAACAGAAATGTATTGGGTGTGGTTACCAGGGGAACCTGATGCAAGACTTTTTTTTGGGTAGACAGCAAGTGCTGGTATACAAGCCTTCTCTTGTAAACTTGCATACACTGTTTAAATTATAATGAAATTTTTTATAGTTACTGATAAAAAATGTTAATGGACATAGCTCAAATCTCTCTCTCTCTCTCTCTCTCTCTAATGTCTAATCACTAACAACTCAGCTCTTGTGGAGTCACCATGCTTAATGGACCCTGAAAAAAACAGCTAAGGTGGTGCTAAAACTGTCTCTTATGGTTCCTCGTACACCTGAAGGTCCCAGATTTCCCAAGCTACATCCATCGTAATTGATTTTTATCTTCAGCTGGTGGCTGCTGTTGCAGATAGCTATTATGCCTAGTTGTGGGGGGTGCAACTATGAATTACCACCCTCTAAGGATATTTTCCAAGGAAAAGAGGGCAAAGATCTCTAGAGGCTTTATTCATTGTTCCATTTTGATTGAAATGCTCTAGATAATAGCTTCCTTGGATCAGTTATTTCCATTGAAAATTCTATCATTGTTTTCTTCCAAAATTATCTAAAGAAAAGCTGCTCTAGAACATGTCAACATACTTTTTAATGGGAGTGTCTGCATGTGCTCAGTCATGAAAATGACATGGAATCTGACATGTGAAATTCCAATGATGGAGCATCCTTATTACATTGTACCTGATAGATGGATTTCAAGATTTCTTATAATTATACTCCCAACAATTCCTATGTCCAGCTACAATCTCAACTGCATACCTCATTTTCAGGGATGCTACTATCTTTTCATTGTAGATACCTTAGATATGATTCCATTGGGTCATTTTTCTACCTTTTGGCACATCTTAATGGAAATCAAACACCTAGGAACAGAATTGCAAGTGTCACTTAATTGGATTTCTAGATCTGTAAATAGTTTAGGTGATTAACTTGTAAGATAAGGGGATAAACTGGGAAACTGTTTAGTAATTAGTGAAGATTGTATGTAAAGCCACATCTTAAAGTGAAGAAAGGGGTTAGGTTGTGCATTACACCCTAATGACGAAGCAAATCCCACTGTATACAACATTCTTTATTACAATCATTAAAATCACACTTTTACAATAAAAAAAGACATGACAAAATTATTTTGGTCTTTTGTCACATCCAGCCAGAACCAGTCTCCAACTTTCTTCATTAAGTTCTCAGTCAAAGTTCAGAACCATTTCATCAAGTATTTTGGAAGGCAACAAGTAGCCCTTGCTCCTCTTCCTAGATTGAATCTTGGCATCAGAAAAATCTAGCAAACAATGACACATCCCTTGGGCAGTGTGCTGACACTTGGCACTTGGTACATGGTATGGCACTTCTTATAACAGTTTGATAATGCCCCAACCTGAAGTCAGCAAGAACCCTTGGCATTTGGCACTCATATATAATTACAAGAAAATATACATACAATAAGGAGTTCACACTCTGCTTTTCTTATTTTCAATATATTTTTAAATTGCTTATGTAATCAAATGTCATTTATCACAACATCCCCTGTCACAATTTTTGGAAGTTGATGTGATGGATACCAATGGTACATACCAAGGTAATACTGCCTTTGCAACTTTGCCTTTTTCTTTTGTTGATCAATAATGAGTAGTTGTATTAATTCAGAAACTCAATGCATCCACAAGAATATAAAGAAATCCAAGAAACAAAAAATTTCATCTAAGTCAGATTTACAGCAATCCCAAGCCAGTATTACCCATAAAAAATGTTCCCTCTTCACTCCAGATTAGGCTAAAGTGTCCACTATCAAGTTATCTGAACAATGAACCCACCTGAATGAGCAATTCAGATTGGATGCCAAAGCAATGGCTTCTCTGATCATCTATTGAAGTCTTCAAGGACCTGCATCTTTGTTCTCCATCCATCCGAAGACCATAATTCACTCTGTACTTCTCGTTTTTCCCACCCTTTATCTCAAAACAAACAATTTGCAGATTCTGACCATAATTTATTTTGTAATCCTTAAATCTCGATGAAGTTGTTGTACATACCATGTGGTTCCATTAGTATTCAGTACATAAAGTATGACTTCATATAGCTAAACAAACTTGACCCCTAACTTCTTTGTCCAAATTGCTAAATGTTGTAGATGAACTAATTCAGGTTCTCAAATATATTGAAGGAATTCACATTTACAAGTTACTTTCAAGAGATTTGTATGTATGTTCAGATGTATATTTTCCCCATATTTTACAGAGATGTCCTAATTCCCCTATGTGGGGAGTCAGCATCTTCTAATTTACTGAACTTTAATTGTTCATGAATCATGGTTTGTAGGCACTAAATGTTGAGAAGAGATGAGAAAAAGGGAAGATAGTAATGGTCTAACAAGATTAGGACTTTTGTCATTAAACAAAATGAAATGCTGCTCTACCTCAATACCAATGTTCTGTAAGCCTGACCAGATAAACTAGTCAAACAGCTAATTAGAGAACTACCCAGTTTCCAAATATGAACCATCTCTACCTGAAATGAAAGTGTAGAAGGATTCCTCAATTCCTTTCCAAACTTATCTAACACTAATCAATGTAACCAGACTAGGATCCCACCCACCACTTACTAAACGCAATTACCCAATGTTAGTCCAAAACATCTGGGGAATTGGGAGGGGTAGACTGGATATGTACCTATGGAACATTTTTGCTTACTTGTCACTCTAAGACCCAAATCCACTTTCTCATTCTTGTCAGTCCAATATTTGGGAACCTCAAAAACCCAAGATTACAAACTGTTCCAATAGATATAATGAAGAAGCAAATTTGGGAACCTAAAAAAAATCAGAGACAGAAGTAAAACCTCAAGCATCAAACCACTTACTAAGGGGGCCTTGTTTGTAAATCTTAGTTCTATAAAACCCAAACCTCCCATAACCTTGCTATGATGGGTTTCAAGTCTAATGTTCAGTTGAATGATCGTTCTCCTTCATGTTTTCCTCAGGTTTTTAAGGATGATTTAATTGACTGTCCTTGTCAGCTCCTCTGTTCTTTCTGTGTTTTTTCTGTGTAGTAGTTGTTTAATGAAGAAGCAGGTTTACCAAGAAAAAAAAAAAAAAAGAATTTTAGTTTTAGAAGGTGGAGGAGATAAAATCCTGTGGTTGAGCTTAATTCTCAAACATTGGAAAGCGGGGAAGAGGAATTGAAATTTCCCAAATTAAAAAATGAGTGAAAATACGAAACAATAAAGAGAGATAATGATTTGATAGAGAATGTTCAAAATAAAAGAATAAATGAAATTTGTATTGGAAACCAAATAAAAACATTTAACATATACTGTGTTCTGTACATATACAAATAACAAACAAGCCTTGCTCTTCTCTATTTACACTTCTTCAGAATTAGACATAAATCCTTCCACCCCTTTTGCCACTTTGGTGCTATGGAGAGACTCATCAGAGCACTTGGCCCTCCTTCTCAGAACTATGTACCAAGTAATGCACTCCAACCCCAACGCAATGGCGCCCAATGTAGCAATGACACCAGCGTAAACAAACTTCCACTTCTGACCAGCACCCAAAATCTCTAAGCCTTTGAACACGTTGACAATGCTCAACACAATGGTGCTGTACCCACACACATGGTGGTATATGTTCCATAAGAATCGGTACCTGTGATCTTTCTTTGGCCGCAGCTTCAGCGCAAATGCCTGAAGCATTCCAAGGCAAAACAGAACAATGCCGATATACCGGTGGGCGCTGTACTGAATTCCAGGAGATTTGCTCCCAAGTACGAGGCCGCTCACCCATCCTCCAACACCAATGATGTAGGCTGAAATCTGGCAGCCAACATGCAAGTAAAACCAAAGTGGGTCTGCAGACTTGAAAACTTTCATGTATCTCGCTATCATGGCACCCATGGGCATCATGGTACCCCATGTCACTGCATTTACAACTCCATGAACTATCTTCCATACCTCTCTTGAATCCCTTCCTCTCCTCATGATTGTTTGGGCTGATGAGAAATTCAGGGTACCCATTGATCTGAGATTGTCTCCAGAAAAAGAATGAGGCCCAGGTATGTTGTCCAGAAGTGGGCCCTCTTGCCAAACCTGATTCACACTGGTTGTGTTGCCTGGAAGCTCTAGAGTTGCAAAAATCATCATCTCATTGTCTGCAAACTGTGCAGAGATGTTGTAGACCGGAAAGCTAAGATTTCCCGGCTGCAACTGAGTCCCGTAACTGGTTATGGGAGAGGTGTAAGCCATAACCTTTCCATCATTACGCCGGTAAGCAACGAACGCCTGAGAGCCAGCCATGCCGGTGGAAGTTGGGTTGATGGCCCAAGCAAACCATCTTGAAGTCGTAGTCCCGGTGTGCCGATATGCAATCTCAATCCTCTGTGAAGATTGTTCGTAGTTCCAGTGAATGAAGGAGTTCAAAACGGGAAGATCGTTGCATGAAGTGAAGACTCGGTTACCGGAGAAAGTTTGAGTTGAACACGAAGACTGAGCAGAACCTGAAAGAAAAAGAGAAGGCAAGAGAAACAGAAAAAACGTCGGTCTTAAAGCTATATTCATCATTCTGAACCTCTCTGTAATAACTAATTAAGCCTGCAATTCAAAATCTACGGAATGGGTAACAGGGTAAGAGAAAAAACTAGAAAAAGAACTATGAAACTAGACAGAAAATCTGAACAGAAAACAAAAGATGAAATTTTCTACGGAAATTGTCTCACAGAAAATGCTAATCGAAATGAGTTTCTCGGTTGGAAAGATAGTGAGATTATTCGAGTGGGTGAGCTACGGTTATATAGAGATGAGAATTAAGGCAGTCTGCAATCCAAGTCTCCAAATTCAAATAGGAATCTGGTTTCTATTTTCATGTTGCATCGATTTTAACGGGTTCGAGTTGAACATTAACGCGGTTAAGACTGAGATCTTACCAAAAATAATCCAACACGGTGCCAGCTTTCGGTGGTTGCAAATTGAATTAACACTTTTTTTCGAAATTCGAACGTTTCTAGGATTCATGCGCTCAAACAAGTTCCAGCTTCAGTTACGTTACGACTCTCCCCATGGATTTACAGTCGTTACTTCTGGGTTGAGTTAAGTGGTATACCCGCGCTGACCTAACCGGATATCGGGTTAAGGGTTGGGTCGGTCGGAATGAATGGTATTGGTAGTCAGTAGTCAGTGAGACGTGATTTTCAGAACTACTATGCATTATATATATATATATATATATATATATATATATATCAATACTTTGAATCTTGATTTTATTTTTTATTATTTTATAACTAGTTTACATTTACTCTATAATTTTGTTCAAATTTTTTTTAGTATATCCCATCAATATTCTATTATTATATTAATATTTTATTTTATTATATATTATTTTATAAATATTTTATCACTTTATTATTTTTATTACTAGTGTGCTTTTATTTTCATTTTATTCATAATTTTTAATATTCCATAAAATTTATTATTATGTTAATATTACATTTATTTTTTGTAGTTATTTTATCATCATATCATTATTTTACCATATTTACAATATTAACTAATATTAATATTAATGAATATCCATTTGATAAAATTATTAGCATTAATATCCATTCTCAAATTCAACACTAAAGGCAAAATGGTAAAATAACAACTTTTGAAATTCAAGCACAAAATAGAAAATCACATATATTCAAAGTATTTTCTTTCGGAGACATTTTGCTTTTAAAACATCAAACTTCTTTTATATATATATTCTATTGCCCGGTTAGTGCCCATTTACCCATGAATAATACTAAAATTCTACAATATATACCATTGCATGGCATGCCATGATCAACCTGGCCCAGACATGATAATCAAGTGGTCGGACTCGAATCGGGTCAAGGCATTTTCGAATCAACTTTCAAGTTGGATCGGCAAAGTCTAGCCCCTAACCATAAACATTTGGGTTAGCAAAGGAAAAGCTAGTGGTGGCGCAAGGGGAGCCGTCCCCACCCCCCCATGTCTTCAAAATCCCCACAATTTTTATACATCCCATTTATATTTTGACACAATGGAACATCTACCCATGTTTATTAACTTTTGATCCCCTCAATTAATGTTTATTAGTTTTGGATCTCACAAGAAAAATTCTTGGCTTTGCCCCCTACATGTTAACATGATCTATGTGTAAAATGGGTCAATAGTTCAACTACCTGGATCAATTGGTCTTTGACCAAGTCAACCAGTTTTTTTTAATGAAAATTACATGTTTAATCATTTGATTCAAACAGCTTGAATGGTTGAACCGTATGAGTCAACACTGGTTTGAAATCGTTGATTTGAAATGGGTGAGCCTACATGACTCGGATTCTTTTCAGATTGGATTGTGTCGGGTCAAGCCACCTTCTGGTTTGAGTCTGCTGGATAAGATACCCTAACCTGCTTTTTCCAGGCTATGCCAGGTCGGGGTTCATAGATTTGGTCCACTTTTTCCAGGTATAGGTGGATAGACAACATTTGAGAGTATAGAAATTAGGGGTGTGATGTGTGGATCTTCAATTGTGGTCTTTGTATTGTATGGATGGGATATAGTCATATAACCATAAGATCATCTTCGCTAAATGAAGTAGTTGTTCTTAGAGATGCAATTTTTGGCTGAAAATGGAGTTTCCCTTTTGATTTAAGGCTGCATTTGTTTGAGGTGTAAATTCAAATTTTACACCATGAAAAAAATGAACCGATTTAGTGATTGATGGAAATTAAAACCGATTGATTTTAGAGGAAAGTAGGGGAAGATCATGCATAGCTGGCCTTCAACCTTATGAAGTCTGCAATCCCTTCAATCAAAGCCCCAGCTTCAGGCTGGCCGTTTCTATCCCACTGCCAGAAGTGGATTTTGTTATTTACCGCATACGCTGACACCCCGTGCCACCCGTTCACCCCGTTGGCCATCGTCTCCAGAAACAAGTTGATGCTTTGCACACTCTTCCTCTCAGCTTCGCTTGTTTACCGGAAGATTTGCCAGATGAATTCTAAGGCAGATTTCAGTTTCTCTCTACTGTACTCGACACTGATCTAGGTGTCAAACCGAGTTCCACCAATGGTTCCAGAAGCGTAGTTAAAGGCTTGATATTCTACGATGGCATTGAATCCTCGCAGGGCTGAAAGGCCGGTCAGATAATATAGGAAGAAGAGCATTTGGTAATGCTAAGCCATCGGTTTGTCGCTCTACAGGCAAATGTGTTCAGCTCACTGCTCAGATTATTGAGGTTATATAGAGAGTAGCCACACCCTGAGGAAGTACAAAGAGAAGCTACCGATTATGAAAGGTATTCCCCTGTTCTGGGTCCTCTCCGGCACTCCCTTTGGTGGTGGGTTCAGATCTGCCGCTCCCTTCGGGGAGAGAGAGAGAGAGAGAGAGAGAAGGAGAAGAAGAAGAAGAGAGAGAGAGAGAGGAAGAAAGAGCGATTTTCTTTACATCGATAATTTCGATGTATATATTACATCAGTTATCGATGTAAAGAAAATTCAAAATGAAATTTTACACTGATTTTTGGTGTAAAATTACATGTTTACCTCGGTTCAATTTTCCACCCCAAACAAACGTAGCCTAAAGTCTTTATTGCAAGAATCATTCGTGAGAGATGAAAACTGGCAATTTGTTGCTTACCAGATATTGGGTTTCAAAAAACTCGTTATCTTTGTAAGAAAAATGGCAATCTATTAGGACTTGTTCATTTGCTTTGAACTCTGACATCTGAAAGTGTAATAATTACATTAAGAGTTATATTGGTATTGGTGAACTTTTCTTTCCTTTGAACTCTGAATGCAGAGATTGTTGTTCTTAATTCTAAAGTCTGAATTCTGAAAACTATCAAATATCCATTTTAACCTCAAATATCAGAGTTTTTGTTTGTCCTTTTGGGGTATCATTGGAAAACAAAAATTTGTATGAATGCACTTTAAGAGATAAGAGATAAGAGGAAACGAACAACCAATTGCACTAAAACTTTAGATAGGTAGCTAGTAACCTGTTGCTGAAATCTTCCTTGAAGTTTGGTAATTACAATCACCTCCCCTGAACTTGTTGACGCAACTGCAAGTAGACATCCTTTGTTAGAATCCTCTAAAATGGGGCATGAAAATGTTCAAAATACTCGTGTAGTTACTTTTTATGAAAATGTTTATTTTTCAAATTTTATCTTCATATGAATTACTAGCCCAAACCATTCTTGTCTATTTTGTGAAATTTATTTGTTTTTTAAAAATTTCCTTCCTTCCACTTAGTTTGGAAGGAGTGCAAATACAAATATGTACAATGCAAATACATATAAAATAATACAAAATATAAGGTTTTGTACCCTACATAGTTGTATTTGTACTCTTCCAAACTGAGCATATCATAGTTGTATTTTGGAAGGAGTGCATGTTATTTGTAATCTAAACTAAAACATAACTCGGCTTTGGGTCCATTAAAATATTGGATGTTTCAAAATTTGTTGGCATAAATAAGCCATTATTCATGGGTTTGTTTGTGTTGAAGATAAAGTCGATGATTCAAAGTCAGATGTGGTCATTTTCAAACTAGTTATGGAACATAGGTTGAATCCTCGTGTAGTGAAAATCCATACTAATGGTTTGTAATTCCAAGATTTTTTGTTGCTTGAATTATTTTTCAATGATTGAATATAGTATGTAGCAAGGTTTTTAAAATCAGATCAGACAGGGAATCAATCTGGTTTTGGTTCCTAGGTTGAATGCTCCAACCATCTGGTCTAAATGGATGGCCCACTCTGACAAAAAATAAAGAAAAAATTAAAAAGGTCAAAAACCGATATCTAGATCAATAATTCGAAAGCACAAGTCAATAATTTATTGACCAAATCAACGATTTTTTACCAAAAAATGGTTTGGGGTGAATAAAACTGGTCAAGTGATTTGTTCCTGGTTTTTCAGGTCCGACCGTCCAATCCCGTCCGGTTTTGAAAATACTGGTATGTAAAAATGGAATTAATATCTGATGCAGCTCAAATGCTAGATTTCCCAACAGTGCAATACAAAAGATAGCTACAAGGAGGAGGAGGATTCTAGGGCGTGAAGAGATTCCATTGCACGAAACCTCAATGCATGAGGAGACTCTAGCGCATGATGTGATGAAGAGGAGTAGAGACAGCGTGAGCACTGAACAAGAAATAGGATGACCAATCACATGAAGCTCCGACATCGCACTAGCGTACAATGTCAAGAGTCTTGCCTCAGAAGTGAAGTACGTACACTATTTTTTTTTTTTTATATGAAAAGAAACGTGTTACTCAAGCCGGAGGAAGCACGACCCCAAAAGTCACTAAAACAAATAAAATAAAGATCCTTAGTAAAGATTACAAGAGTAAAAAGAAAATACAGCCAATAACAATTTTCGAGTTCCCCTCAATCGAATCACTCAGTATGGTATCTTAATTTGGTTTAATCACTGATTGGTCAATATATAATTTAAAGCTCTTTGTATGCCCATTGACTAAGATTGGTCAAAGTTGACCTGAAAGTTGCTGTGAGTTGAGGAGTTTAGATTTGAGAGCTTAGATTGAAGACCTAGAGGAGTGAATCTAAGGACTAGAAGAGGGTTTCTAGAAGTCCAAGGGATTAATTTTGGTTCATAGGAATAAGGGTCTGGAATCGGAATGGGTTATTCTGATTCCAACTGTTTGTTTAGACAGAATTGGAATCTCATTCCCATTCTTGGTGGAATGGCATTCCCCCATTTGAGGGAATAAGAATGACATCCCATTCCTATTGATTCCAATTTTCATTCCCATTCCTGTCGGAACCAAACAAACTATGGGAATACACCATTCGAATTTCGATTCCGACTGCAAATCAAACAAACCCTAAGCTTCTTCTAGAAGATCACATTCCCTCACTCTAAACCATCAAATTGCATACATTAAGTAAAAAGATTCTCTAAGACCGACGTTTCTTCTCTTTCTCTTGCTTTCTCTTTTTCTTTCGTGTTCTGCTCAGTGTTCGTATTCAACATACATTTTCTCCGGTAACCGAGTCTTCACTTCATGCAACGATCTTCCCGTTTTGAACTCCTTCCTTCACTGGAACTACGAACAATCTTCACAGAGGATTGAGGTTGCATATCGGCACATCGGGGCTACGACTTCAAGATGGTTTGCTTGGGCCATCAACCCAACTTCCACCGGCATGGCTGGCTCTCAGGCGTTCGTTGCTTACCGGCGTAATGATGGAAAGGTTATGGCTTACACGTCTCCCATAACCAGTTACGGGACTCAGTTGCAGCAGGGAAATCTCAGCTTTCCGGTCTACAACATCTCTGCACAGTTTATAGACAATGATATGGTGATTTTTGCAACTCTGGATCTTCCAGGCAACACAACCAGTCTGAACCAGGTTTGGCAAAGGGCCCACTTCTGGACAACAGACCTGGGCCTCATTCTTTCGATGGAGACAATCTCAGATCAATGGGTACCCTGAATTTCTCGTCAGGCCAAACAATCATGAGGAGAGGAAGGGATTCAAGAGAGGTATGGAAGATAGTTCATGGAATTGTAAATGCAGTGACACGGGGCACCATGATGCCCATGGGCGCCATGAAGGTTTTTCAGTCTGCAGACCCACTTTGGTTTTACTTGCATGTTAGCTGCCAGATTTCAGCCTACATCATTGGTGTTGGAGGATGGGTGAGCGGCCTCGTACTTGGGAGCAAATCTCCTGGAATTCAGTATAGTGCCCACAGGTAAATCGGCATTGTTTTGTTTTGCCTTGGAATGCTTCAGGCATTTGCGCTGAGGCTGCGGCCAAAGAAAGATCACAGGTACCGATTCTTATGGAACATATACCACCATGAGTGCGGGTACAGCGCCATTGTGTTGAGCATTGTCAATGTGTTCAAAGGATTAGAGATTTTGGGTGCTGGTCAAAAGTGGAAGTTTGTTTACGCTGGTGTCATTGCTACATTGGGCGCCATTGTGTTGGGGTTGGAGTGCATTATTTGGTACATAGTTCTGAGAAGGAGGGCCAAGTGCTCTGATGAGTCTCTCCATTGCACCAAAGTGGCAAAAGGGGTGGAAGCATTTATGTCTAATTCTGAAAAAGTGTAAATAGAGAAGAGCAAGGCTTGTTTGTTATTTGTTTATGCACAGAACATAGTATATGTTAAATGCTTTTATTTGGTTTCCAATACAAAATTCATTTATTCTTTTATTTTGAACATTCTCTATCAAATCATTATCTCTCTTTATTGTTTGGTATTTTCATTCACTTTTTAATTTGGGAAATTTCAATTCCTCTTCCCCGCTTTCCCATGTTTGAGAATTAAGCTCGACCACAGGATTTTATCTCCTCCACCCTCTAAAACTAAAATTCTTTTTTTTTTTTTTGGTAAACCTGCTTCTTCATTAAATAACAACTACACAGAAAAAACACAGAAAGAACAGAGGAGCTGACAAGGACAGTCAATTAAATCTTCCTTAAAAACCTGAGGAAAACATGAAGGAGAATAATCATCCAACTGAGTATTAGACTTCAAACCCATCATAGCAAGGTTATGGGAGGTTTGGGYTTTATAGAACGAAGATTTACAAACAAGGCCCCCTTAGTAAGTGGTTTGATGCTTGAGTTTCTACTTCAGTCTCTGATTTTTTTAGGTTCCCAAATTTGCTTCTTCATTATATCTCTTGGAACAGTTTGTAATCTTGGGTTTTTAAGGTTCCCAAATATTGGACTGACAAGAATGAGAATGTTGATTTGGGTCTTAGAGTGACAACTAAGAAAAAATGTTCCGTAGGTACGTATCCAATCTACCCCTCCCAATTCCCCAGATGGCTGGGACTGACATTGGGAAATTGCGTTTAGTAAGTGGTGGGTGGAATCCTAGTCTGGTTACATCCATTAATGTTAGATAAGTTTGGAAAGGAATTGAGGAATCCTTCTACACTTTCATTTCAGGTAGAGATGGTTCATATTTGGAAACTGGATAGTTCTGTAATTAGCTGTTTGACTAGCTTATCTGGTCAGGTTTACAGAACATTGGTATTGAGGTAGAGTAGCATTTCATTTTGTTTAACGACCAAAGTCCTAATCTTGTTAGACCATAATCTTCCTTTTTTTCTTATCTCTTCTCAACATTTAGTGCCTACAAACCATGATTCATGAACAAATAAATTCAGTAAATGGAAACTGCAAATATATGATAAAAAACAAACAGTTGCTTCAGTTCTAGTTTTATGAACAAATAAAAAGTAGCTTTACTTATGGTTTATTGAACCTCAATGTGTTTTTTCTTTTGGTTTTGTTTGATTGCCAACTACATACTAGCATCAATTCCTTTCATATCATTATCATCATCCATCCCTTGGACAAACAATAATGCACTTTACTTTTTCTTTGGTAAATAAACAAAGGATTTCATTAAACCCAGAAGTGAAGAACAGAAATGATACAAATCAAATCCAACAATAGAAAAGAAAGAAAACTAAAGAAAAACAAGAACTAAGATAAAATACTAGGGCAATCAGCAGCTAGTGCTCTTCAAGCCAGGGAGGGCATTCGTTCACCCATTCTTGAGAAAGCACGAAACCCATAGAGGCTACCAGATGAGCTGCCCCCTTCCTTGACCTAGGCACAAAGGAAAAAGACAAGGCCAGGTGCTTCACAAGCTCAAGAACCAGCTAAGCAGCTAAGATTGTCAAGAACCAGCTGAACACTAACTTTCACACCCTAGCAAAAGAGATGTTCAGCTAAGCAGCTAAGGATCATCTTTTGTTTTGTATCTGGCTGAATACCAAGAACTCGTAAAAGTCCTAAACATCCATGCAATCACAACTTGGGAGTTACCCTACAAAATCATCAAGGACAGACCTTGACTGACAAGAGACTTACCTCC